AATTCCTGTCACAGATTCTTGAGAAGCTGGAATGGAACTAGCAATCATCTGATCCTCCTCATCTTGTGTCTTAACATCAACATCAGCACATACTAGCTGGCTTTGTTTATATGATTCAACAAAACACTTTGACACATCTTCCTGTGAATTCTTCAGTGAATTTGCACCTTGACTGTTTGTCAAACAGTGTCCTGAATCACTCTTGGTGTGTAAATGTTCAGAAGTAGAGACTGTTTTTCTGTCACCAAGAGCATCCAGGGTTTCAAGGAAAATATCCCATTCATTGATCACACATTTCAGGTAGCGGGTAAGATACAGAAGGGCACAGGTCTCAGGAGAGGTCAAAAGGTCAACCAGTACACTGTGGTCAAAACCAGTCATTTGAAGCAGCAGGTAAAACTGTTTGTGTGGGTTTATCGTTGTGGTCAGCTTCTCAAGATATGGTCCTAGTGCATCTGACCTAAACACAAAATTGTCTCATCTATATAAGGTACATTAACAAGAGTAATATGATCATGACTTCAAAACACAAGAGGCCCTAGGGTATTAATTGCTCACCTGGTTTGGTTTTAGTTTAACTTGCTTTATAAGACTGTATATATGTTCATATAGCATACTCAGTGAATTGTTGATATAGGAACTCTGTCACGTTCATCAGACAAACGACAGACCAGTAAATGTATGTACATTGAGCTGTTAAATATGTACAAGATTACCAATCGACAAGGCAATTTGGCTACCCTATAAGCATTTGAACTGTTGATCACATCAACAAATCCATTTTGTTAAGTACTTTGTCATTGATGAGGGACAGTATGGGCCCCTCATATTGATTCACAACTGGTCCAAACTTAATGTTTATATGCTTTACTAGTCATTTACCTGGTGAAGATTATGGAGTACATATGGCACAATACATCATAATGTCACACACAAACTTTTCACTGGTTGTGCTGTATGAAGCTTTAAATAAATTTACCAACCCAAACAAAATGTTTCAAAATACTGTATGATACTTTCATTCTGTATTAAGTTTATGATTCTGTTCAAGGAAAAAATATTAAGAATTCAATTTTACACAGTAACATGAATAACATCTATCTTAACTCTATTAGACGAGTAGCCTCTTTGTGAGGGTCATATTTGCCAAAAAAACAAGATATCCAAGAAGGATCTTGGCACCCACCATGGAAGCATCTTTATCAATTCTACAAAAGATGATCTGTAACCTTCTTGCTCTTCATTTTCCTTACAAGTAATATAACCCAGTCCCATGTATGAAATCCTAAACAGGAATCTGGTACATTAACTTAAACCTTCCAATGTCAAATGTTATTGTATAAGAATTGCACAACTGAAAAATGCTAAAACTCTGTAATTATAACATACTGGTAATTAGAAGTGCTGTCAATAAAGGATGAACTCTCATTAGGACCAGGGTATTTTTTAACAAGGGGACCTAAGGGAACATACTTTTGAAACAGTGATAACAAAATTGAACTGTCAAAAATCAAGATGGCCACCTGTCAGCCAACTTGGTTTTCCTATCAATCCCAAAAAAACATTTTGCATAACAAAGGACCCATGGGAACCCTAATGTGAAATTTGGGAAAGATCCATCCAGTTCTTTCTGAGGAATAGCACTAACAATCTTAAACTCACAACATTCAAGATGACTGCCTGTTGGCCATCTCAGTCTTCCAAACAGTCTCAATATTTAACATGCATACATGTAACTAGGGACCATGGGAAACTTTCACATGAAATTTGAGAAAGATCCCTCAAGTACTTAGTGAGAAATAGTACTAAAAATCTTTGATTATCAAAATTCAAGATGGCTGCCTGTCGGACATCTTTGTTTTCTATTCAGTCTCAATATTCAATACTTGTAAAAGAGACTGTGGGAAAACTTCATTTGAAATATTGAGAAAGATCAGCCAGTACTTTCTGAGAAATACTACAAATAGCACTAATTAACTTTATCCCTCAATATTCAAGATGGCCGCCTGTCAACCCTCTCTTTTTACTGATCAGTTTCACAATTCAAAATCCATAAAAAAGGCCATGGGAAATCTTCATGTGGAAATTGATAAATATCCATCTCATACCTTCATAGAAATAGTGCCAACAAACTTTAACTCTCAAAATTCAAGATGGCCAGCAGTCGCCCATCCTGGCTTTCTGATCAGTCCCAAAATTTGAAGCAATATAAGCAAACAAGACCTAATTTTAGAAAATGAGTTAAGGCTTGATGTGGCTTTGATTCATTCAGGCCTCACCTTTTCTTTGTGATACAGTAGATGTCCAAGACTTCCAATAAAGCCTCCATCAATGTGTCATCCTGGTCACCAAACACAGTGGTCATCCAGTCAAACGGCTGACCACTGTGCTCACTCCCTTGTACAGTTATGGTGGCATGGTCATTCAGTTGGGAAAGACATCTGGATAGATCTAACAAGGCTAGATTCACTTCTGAAGAGAAATGTGGTAAATTGTACTTTAGAAAATTAAAATATTGAAATATGATCTTGTACAGGAAAATAAGAAAACAAAAATAGTATTGAAAGCGTGCTTATGTTTTCTCTTTTATATGAATTTTATAAAATATGTACATATGTATAGAAATGTTCATGTTAGCTAAACCCTTCCCTCCCCAGCTTCAGCCCCTCCATTTGTACAATTTTGAATCCAGGCATCCTGAGAATGTTTCCAACCAAATATGGATGATCTACTTCTCTTATTTCAAGCGAAGAAGTCTCTTAAAACAATATGGCTAAGTTATCCCTTTTATGAACCGTCCCTCAGCCGAAAAGGGGTCAACCCCTTCATTTGAACAATTCTGAGTCCCAACCCTCTGAAAATGCTTCCAACCAGACATTGTTTCTCTCTTAGTTTCTTAAATCAATATGGCCAAATTAACCCTTTTTGGCCCTGCCCCTCAGCTCCTCTATTTGTGCAATTTCGAAGGTGAAACCCCAGNCCCGCCCCTCAGTCCCCTGGGGGCTGGGGACCATATAATTCACAACTTTGGTTGACCTTTGGCCATGGAAGTTTTCTGCAACATTTCATTGAAATTGGTTTGGGGGTTTTGGAGAAGTCGAAAATGTAAATTGTTTACGGACGGACGACGAACGACGACAGACAAACGGCGATCGCAATAGGTCACCTGAGACTTTGTCTCAGGTGACCTAAAAATGTAAATATATGGATTGAATGGCATTTTTCAAATTTTCATGCCGGTATAAATGCCAATTGGTTACATCCATGTTAAATATGCAATAACGATGTAACCAATTTGCGTATATACCGGCATGAAAATTAAAAAAACGGCATTCAATCCCTATGAATTATACTCGTGCTATGAGCATTCATGTAGATAGGTACAGTTGTGGGACCGCACAATGCACCAAAAATAGCGTGCGAACACCGTGCATACATCGTTCACACACCGTCTGCACATCGTCCACACATGGTGCGCACAACTGTGCGATTTAGCAATCGTTGCCTCGTTGTGTCCTTCTCTCCGCACAACTGTGCGATTTGGTATCATTTGTAGATCA